AGAAAGGATAATCAATATCATTTTGAACAATTGTAACTTCCAACCAAAATTCAGTCTACGGAATTCATATAACCTAATCAATAAAATAAAGAACATATCGCTACGAAACAACGCAAAATTACTATCCTTTGATGTGCAAAATCTATTTCCTCCTAGCATACCTCCTGATGATACATATACAGTTTGAAACTGAATCATTGGGAAGCAACGGAAATTAATAAACTTAAAAATTCAAACATTCTAATGAATGACCAACTAGATTTGAATAGATCACCATTATTGAACTTGTTTTCTTAAAATCTGAGAAAGAATTATTATTGATGTAGATGTGAGGTAATATGCTTTAGGTAATCATAATTCATCAGGTACCTTAGGTAGAGGTTCAGGTAATTTGTAAAGTTAATCCTAGTTCGTCAAACTACAGTCATTGTTAGTTAGTGATGTATTGAACAATTATGCCCAGTAACAACCAACGGTTCTCAATTGATATTTGTGCAGTTTTTTTTTGAATGAAAGATATTTAGTAAAAAGTGTTATCATAAGAGATACATTGAAAAAAAAGTGTATATTTAGTTTAAAGTGTTATCATGAGAAATACTGTCATTTATTTGACAGTTAAATAATAGTGTTTTTGAAGGAAATGGTAGAAAGATGTCGAATTGTTTCGAAAATTAAAAAAATATAAAGGCATCGTTTTGTCTGATGAGTATTCAGAAAATCGATATCATCCGAATGTTATAAAGCATTCACAGGACTTATGAAAAAATACTTGACTTCTGAATCTGAAAATCAGACATAAAACAGTGAAAAACAAAAATCAGCCAGTATACCTTCAAACAATAGCTCAACAACCTCGTCGTTGATACCTAAGTTGTCCATAGAACTATCTCATTTACAGTATTCCTCTACAGAATATTTAATAACATTTCAATTCAGCTTCAGAATCAATAGCACCAAAAAAATATGGAAATTTGTCAACCAGATGTTAGTGAAGATACTGATTCAACTCAGGATGCAAATATTCTAACCGAAAAGGAAGCTAATAATATCGACTATCAAATACGTTTAAAAAGGCTTCCACTTCATAAAGCTGATAGTATCCAATTCAAATCTAGTTTACTACCCAACATCGAAGGTCAAGAGGAGTATGCAGATTGAAAAAAAAATCTGGTTAAAAAATATCTTATCATACAGAATGTAGAATTAGTTTCAATAATAAAATATCCTCTTTTCGAAAATCATTCACGAAAAAAATTAATATATCGACAACAGTGATGAAATTTTTGAAAAGAATCAAATATTTTTTTACTTTATATACATTTTTTTACTTTATATAACGCGATAAAATATGAACGTGATAAAATTATTTTTTTATCGCATATCTAAGTAC